CTTGGGTACACACGTCGTTTATTTCTTATCGTGCTCATTGTGCTCGTTTCTAGTTGTTTCTGGCCCCCTAGTGGCCAGGAGAAGGCCCAGGATAGAAGAATTAGAAATGAAAGGATCTTGGCCACCAAAAAATCAAAGAATTTTCGAATAATTCGACATGGACAATGTGTACACTGGTTCTCCTCCTCCTCCTCGTCCTCCCTGGGCGGCCGCTCGGCGGCCGCTCGGCGGCGAGGACTCGCCTTCCTGTGGGGTCGCCGTCGTCGTCGCCGCCACCGCCCTCGCCGTCGTGCTCGCGTCGTCCACCGGCGCAGCGTCGCTGTCACAGCACAGGCGGACACCTTCAGATGTCGAGACGCGAGCGGCTCCAACGCCGCCACCCGCTCCCTTTCTCTTAGTCTTGTTATCCTTCGTCGTCCTACTTTGCAGCGTCCTTAATGGCATTTGTAGGAGTAGTAGTCGTCCCGACGAGAGAAGCTCGTTGCGGTTCCAGGACACGGTATACGGTGAACACCCGCTCAAGCCTCTGCGAAAGCCAGGGGCCCCCCCCGCGGCGAGGGAAGCTCGAAGGCAAGCGGCCGCAGGAGCCGCAGAGGAGCCACAGAGGCCCAGGGGCGAGCGGCAGAGCACGCTGCCGAATAGGACGATACGAAGGCCGCTAGTTACGACGGGGCATCGTGGCGTTGAGAAACCACGGGATATCCCGCACCAGCCCGTCAAGCCGAGGACTGAATCGAGGAGGAGGAAGGCGGGAACAAGACGATCGTGACATGCGGCGCCATGTAAGCACAGTGCCAGCGATGGAGAAATCGAAGCACGGGGCGTGGAATCGGAGAGCAACCTGCCTTTCACCCACACCCTCGTCAGACTGGAGTCGCGGGTAGCTGGCAAAAAGCACGAGCACCCTGAAAAGCACTCACGCAAGCGAGCAGTTGTGCTTGGTGCAAGGCTGCACTACGGGCGGGCTCACGCATTCACTCCAACGTCTTGGCAATCTCCCGCACGTGCTGCGAAGCTCGCACGCGTAGCCGAACTCGCCACACCTTCATCGTGCGAATCACCTTCCGGAACTTGGCGAAGAGGCAATTTGAGAGACGCTCCCCACGACCGATAGCTTCCTCGCGCTGCACAGGCGAGAGGGACCTGGCAGGCCTCTTGGCCTTCAGGAACCGTGGCGGTAGGAGATGAGGCCGCCAATCTCCTCAGTGTAGTGGAGCATCCTGACAGGCTGGGGATTGAAGGAGTCCGCCTTCGGCTGGCCCTGCATGAGAATTCATTGTCGCACGTTCCCCAGAGCCCAGGTCACTGAAGCAACGGCCGCGCACGGAACGATTATCAAGTGCCCAACGCCTGGAGAGATTCGTCCAAAGCAATGAAATAATGCCTCACCCACGTGGCGCCCACGCATGCAGGGTTGACCTTGCCCGTCGTGTCGTTGCTCCAGCACAGGGGCACGCACCTGATAAGTCATGCGTTGCAAGGCATCCACGTCTCGATTGCCGTGGAAACCGCCGTAGGATTGGGCCCTCACCGGTCCCTCCTGGAGGCTGCTCGTGTGTGAGTCGCTCAAGTGCCATGCGCCTCGTCTGATTCATCGGCTCATGGCGCCACGGCACGTTCGACAGGAGAAATCGATGTTTCTGGGTGTGCTCGCCGCGCCTGGTACAAAATAATTACGACCCAGGCTGCCAAGGTTTGTGTGACAGCTGGGCGTCAATATCCAACCATGGGCAGTCCGTATGCCGCCCATCCTCGTCAGCATTCTCAAGTCTGAGTCGCCGACTGTACCGCTCGCTCTGCTAGCTGCCGCCGCCGACGTGGTCGTTGTCGTGGTCGTCGCTCGAGGGATCGAGGGTCACGGATTGCACTTTCTGCCCCCTTTAGGGCCTCGGGAGGCCTGCGGAGACCTCTGCGAACCTCTGCGGACTACAGGGATCTCCAGAGGCATCCAGTCGTCATCATCTACGTGGCCGTCGTCGCCGTCGTCCATGTGATAATCAACGCATCGTCGTCGTCGTCGTCGCCGTCGTCGTCGTCGTCTGCGTCGTCGTCTGCGTCGTCGTCTGCGTCGTCGTCGTCGTCTGCGTCGTCGTCATCGTCATCGTCGTTGTCGTCAACGCCGTCGCCGCCTTCGTCGCGGACGTCTTTGTCGCTCGCGCTTCCGACTCCTCCGTCTCGTATCCGACTTTTTCTTGCCATCAGATATCACCCTCAAGGCCTGCCTTGGCCCGTGTTCTGTCCAGAAATTCGACGCGAATCTGGCCATGGCGCCATGGGAAGTCAAACAAACAAAAACGTGAGACACAAAGCATGATCTTCGCAACTGGTCCGCCCAATCCTCTTTCTCCTCTCCTCCTCCTCATCATCACCACCATCATTCATCACATCATTCATCATCACCATCGTCACCACCACCACCATCATCAGCATCATCATCACCATCATCATTACCACCACCACTATCATCATCATCATCGTCATCACCACCACCATCATTCATCACATCATTCCTCATCATCATCACCACAATCATCATCAGCATGCACCTCATCCTAATTCTCCTTCGCCTTCGACAGCGACAACGACAACGACAACGACGACACGACACCGCACGACACGGCACGACAAGACTAGACGGCACAACACGGCACGGCATAGCACGACGACGTCGATGCCAGCGACGACGCTGGACGGCGCCGACGCCGACGTTCCTCCCATTCCCTCCTGCCTGCCCCTCCCCAACCTCCTGCTCCGCCTCCGTCCCCTCCTGCTCCCTCCCCTCGTGCTACCCGTCGTCAGCCTCGTCGTCGTCGTCCTCGTCGCCGCCGTCCTCGTCGCCGTCGTCCTCTTTCTCCTCGCGCACACTCCAAGTACCCAAATCCGAACATGACACGGGGGGCACCGTCTTCTTCCTGCTCCTCCTCCTCCTCATCGTCTTCCTCGTCGTCGTCGGGGCCGTCTTCGTCGCCTTCGTCGTCCTCGCCATCCCCGTCGCCGCTGTCCACAACGTCCTCGTCCACGACGTCGTCGTCGTCGACCGCCGCCGACCGCCTTCGCCATCGGCGTCGTTAACCTGGGCGGTCCTGGCGGGGCGCCGACACAGCGCCGCACGACCACGGAGGACGCCAGCGCCACCGTCACCACCACGGCGCTCGCGACTGCTGCGTGCACCGTCCCGTCGTCGGCCAGGTCCGGCCTGCACCCGGCGCCGCCAGCGGAGGCGGAGGAGGAGGGGAGGAGGAGGAGGAGGAGGAGGAGGAGGAGGAGGAGGAGGAGGAGGAGGAGGAACGCTTCAGCCACGTAGCCAAAGTCTGAGCAATGTGCAAAGGAGGAGGAGGAGAGGAGGAGGAGGAGGAGAGGAGGAGGGGGGGGGGGGAGGAGACGGAGGAGACGAGCGCGCCAAGGCGCCCCAGGAAGCTCCAGGAAGCTCCGGGAACGCACGGGCGCGCAAAGCGCGCGCTGCACGGGCGGCCGCTTCACGGGGGGCCGCCTTGGCTGCGCCCTGGCCCCCGACTTTCTTGTTTTCTCTTGCAAGCGACGGTAGCAGCGAGTGGTGCCCAGGCGCTGGGCACACATCCTCCTCCTAGTCCTCCTCCTCCTCCGCCTCCTCCTCCTCCTCCTCCTCCTCCTCCTCCTCCTCCTCCATCCTTTCTGGCCGCGGAAAATCGCGTCAGCCACGGTGCCGAAACTGCTTCCAAAGCAACCTTGAGGCGCCAGACGGGCCCCGCGGTTGCCTCCCAGGTGCCGCAACCATGCAGACGCCGGTCGAACTCCGACCCTCCTCCTCCAGTATTTTCCTTAAAAACAACTCCTCCCTGCCGCACTCCGAAGCCAGTCGGAAGGGCGGGCCGGGTATTTCACCCAAGACTTCCTGACAACTTCGAGCCCTGAAACTTACAAACTGAGCACACACTCGTCTTTACAAATTCGAGATAGTTTCACGGATTGAATGCGGCTCCGTGAATGCGTCTTGGGTTTACACTGGTCCTCCTTCATCCTCCTCCGCCTCCTCCTCATCCTCCCTAACTCCCTCCCACCCTACCTCCCTCCCTCCCTCCCTCCCTCCTCCCTCCTCCCTCCTCCCGCCTCCCTCTTCCCTCCCCCCTCCCCCCTCCTCCCTCCTCCCTCCTCCCTCCTCCCTCCTGCCTCCTGCCACCTGCCACCTGCCACCTGCCTCCTCCCTCCTCCCTCCTCCCTCCTCCCTCCTCCTTCCTCCCTCCTCCTTCCTCCTTCCCTCCTGCCTCCTCTTTCCTTCTTCCTCCCTCCTACCTCCCCCCTCCCCCCTCCTCCCTCCTCCCTCCTCCTCCTCTCCCTCCTGCCTCCTGCCACCTGCCCCTGCCACCTGCCTCCTCCCACCTCCCTCCTCCTCCTCCCTCCTCCCTCCTCCCTCCTCCCTCCTCCTTCCTACTTCCCTCCTGCCTCCTCTTTCCTTCTTCCTCCCTCCTACCTCCTCCCTCTCCTCCTCCTCCCTCCTCCCTCCTCCTCCTCCTCCCTCCCTCCCCCCGTCCCCCCCCTCATCCCTCCTCCTCATCCTCCTCCTCCTCCTCCACCTCCTCCTCCTCCTCTTCCTCGTCCTCCTCGTCCTCCTCCTCCTCATCCTCCTCCTCCTCCTCCTCCTCCTCCTCCTCTTCCCCTCCTCATCCTCAGCATCATCATCATCATCATCATCATCATCATCATCATCATCATCATCATCATCATCAGCATCAGCATCAGCATCATCATCATCATCATCATCATCATCATCATCAATCATCACCATCCTGCTCCTCCTCCTCCTCCTCATCTCCCTCCTCCTCCTCTCCCTCCTCCATCCTCCTCCTCCTCTTCCTGTTCCTCCTCCTCCTCATCATCTTGTTATTCTTCTTTGTTTTATGAATATCGTTCTTAGTGTTCTACTTACGGGTATTAGCATTACCCTTCAAATTCTTCATAGTGTTATCATCGTCATGTCATAGTCATGATTATCATCATCATCATCATCATCATCATCATCATCATCATCATCATCATCATCATCATCATCATCATTATCAGCATCACCAGCAGCATCAGCATCATCATCAGCAGCATCATCAGTATTGTTAGTATAACTCTTACCGAAAAGCCAGTATGATTCGTAGTATTGTTGATACTTATATTATGATTAGTAGTAGCAGTCATAGTACTAGAATTAGTAGCAGCACTGTGTTTATCATTACTGGTAATATTGCTAATAAGATGATGATTACTGGTACAAAAAATGTATTGGTATTATCGTTAATATTATTAACAGTATCATCATCTGGGGCATCATCACCAGCAGCATCTCCAGTAGCATTAGTATTATTACGATTGATATGAGTACGATCATTGTTATTAGCATGAGCATTGGTATTACCAGTATTTAAAGTATTGTATCATTACTGGCACGAGTCATAGTACTAGTATCACTACTGATGGTGATCTGCATACTAGTAATACTATTAGTGTTAGTGTTCGTAGCATTCGTAATACTAGTATCAGTATACGTCGTGCTATCATTGTGTGTCTTATTTTTCGTAGTATTCATAGGATTAGTCCTAGTAATAGTCGTAGTGGTATTATTATTGTTGGTAGCAGTATTATTAGAGTCTTCATAGTATTGGTATTGCTAGTATTCTTAATAATGTCATTCTGCGTAGTATGACTATTGTCATGTATATTACTATTGCTTGTTCTTCTTAGTCTGCTTCTTATTATTGCTCTTATTGTTAATATTATTCCTCATCCTCATCCTCCTGTTCCTCCTCCTCCTCCTCCTTCTGCTCCTCTTCCTCCTCATCCTCAACTTCCTCATCCGCCTTGTCCTACTCATCCTCCTCCGCCCTGCCCCCAACCTTGTTCCTTATCAATAGCCGTCCCCTGCTGAACCCTCAAAACGTGTCGGTAGGCCAGGTCCGGCGTTTCGCCTGGGACCCTCTCGCCACTCATGAGATGAAGCTTGGAAATTGCAGAAGTTTCAAGGATGGAGCACAGATCTTTTTCAAAATGTGGCCCTCGCCTTCGCACCGCGCACTTTCGTTTCAAGCTTTGCGAGAGCTGCAAGGACAGTGGTCAGTTCCATTTCAATCGAGTTCTCGACTTAGCACCACGCAGATTCGTTTTAACCAAACTTGCAGCCGTTTCAAAAAATCGCAAGGTTGAAGTCCCAGAAGAAGTGCTCGGGCACGGTTTAGGATTGGAGAAAACAGTCACGTTGACTCGCGGTTCACAAGTCCCAGAAACAGCGTTCTGGCCCGATTTAGATTGGTCAGGACGCAACAGTCACAATGATTCGTTGACTTGCGGCGTTGACATTCCAGGCATAGTGTCTCAGACGGTTGCTTTTTAATGATGCAAGTCCCCGAATCAAAATACATTAGTACACGGGCTTCTGAAAAGGGAATTTAGAGGGAGGGTTTATCTCAACAGCGTTGATGCACCTTGAGTTTACACTGGTCCTCCCTCCTCCTCCTCCTCCAACTCGTCCTCGTCCTCGTCCTCGTCCTCCTACTCCTCCTCTTCCTCCTCCTCGTCCTCGTCTTCGTCCTCGTCCTCCTCCTCCTCCTCCTACTCCTCCTCCTCCTCCTCCGTCTCCTCCTCCTCCTCATCCTCCTCCTCCTCATCATCATCATCATCATTTTCCTCCTCCTCCTCCTCCTCCTCCTCCTCCTCCTCCATATCTTCCTGCTGCTGCTGCAGCGCACGCGGTGGGACGCATTGTCCCGCAGCGTCCACCGCCGCGACGTCCGCAGCAAGCCGAAGTTTCGAGGAGAGGCAAGCGCCCACCCAACGTCCTCTATCATCCCCCTCTCACCCCTCCTCCTCCTCCTCCTCCTCCTCCTCCTCCTCCTCCTCCTCCTCCTCCTCCTCGTCCTCCTCCTCCTTTTCTTCCTCCTCCTCCTCCTTCTCCTTCTCCTCCTCCCCCTCCCCGTCCTCCTCACCATCCGTCGACGCCCCGGCCTGTGCGGCGGCCCCGCGACGGCGCTGCCGCGCAGCACGTCGGCCTCGGTGCGCACCGGCGCCGCCGCCGCCACCGCCGCTGCTGTCGGCCGTCGGTCGTCGGTTATCGGTCGTCGGTCGTTGCTGTCGTCGTCATCGTCGTCATCGTCGTCGCCATCGTCGTCTTCTTCGTCATCATCGCAGTCACCGCCGTCGTCGTCGTCGTCGCCGTCGCCGTCGGTCGTCGCCAGCGCCGTCGCTGGAGTCGTCGTCGCCAACGTCGGTCGTCGACGTCGTCGTCGTCGTCGCCGCCGCCGCCGCCGACGTCGTCGTCGTTGTCATCGTTGTCGTCGTCGAAATCATCGTCGTCGTCCTCGCCGCCGCCGCCGTCGGTCGTCGGTCGTCGGTCGTCTGTCGGCGGTCGTCGTCGTCGTCGGTGTCGTCGTCGTAGTCGTGGTCGTCGTCGTCGTCACCGTCGTCGTCGTCACCGCCATCGTCGCCGTCGACGCCGTTATCATCGTCGCCGTCGCCGTCGCCGTCGTTGTCGCCGTCGCCGTCGCCGACACCATCGCCGTCGCCGTCGCCGTCGCCGTCGCCGTCGTCTTCGTCGTCGTCGCCGTCGTCGTCGTCGTCGTCGTCGCCGTCGTCTTCGGTCGACGTCGATCGCCACCGCCGCTGGGGGCCCGCCAGTCTCTCCAGCCCCGGCGCGCCCCGCGCGCCTGGGACAAGGGCAGGAGAGAAGAAGGGAGGGAGGAACCCTGGGAGGAAGGGAGGGAGGAGTCCTGGAGGAAGGGAGTGGGGGAGGGGCAGGAGAAGAAGGGAGGGAGGAGCCCTGGAGGAAGGTAGGGGAAAGTCCTGGAGGAAGGGAGGGAGGAGTCCTGGAGGGAGGGAGGGAGGGAGGGAAGGGCAGGAGCAGAAGGGAGGGAGGGATCCTGGAGGAAGGGAGGGGGGGCCCCCGCCCTTTCCTTTTCTTCCTCCCGGCGGCACCGAGATACGCAGGCCGCAGCGAAGCACGGAATTGAAAGGAGGAAGAGGAAGAGGAAGAAGATGGGCGCTGCAAGGGTTGGCTGGGTGCCGCGCACACCCGGCGCCCTTCCCCTCGCTGCGACAATCTACTGGGTGCCGCGCACACCGAAGTGACAAATACCGCCCTCCACTCTTCCTGCCCTCATCCACCAAACTGTCCCTTCTCACCCGCCTTCATGGCACTGCAAGATCTGATTACGTAGGTGCTGCGACACCACGCCGCTTCCCCCATCAAAAGGAATGCACCAAGGATGCAAGTGAAACATGAACTGGACCGCACTGGATACCAGCTCGCCCGCGGCAGTCAAAACGTTGACCGCGGGTCGTTTTTTGCCCTCGTGCTTGCACTAACCCCCATTGCTATGCTAACTTCACATCTTTCCGGATCGCCGCGCACAGGCGCGACGACTCGAGAAAACGCGCACCTAGCCAGGAAGGGAAAAAAGCGGAGGGGGAATTGAAGCTCAAAATTCAGAGGGAAGTAGAAGGGTGCGATATCCTCCCTGATAGCAGCGCCGTCGCCTGAAGAAGGCACCCCTGCCGCCTCTGGCAGCCGAGATCTGGCAGCTTGAAACAGCTGCGCCGCTACGAAAGCGCACAACTCCGAGCTGTAGTGCTCGGGTTGCGCTGCCCGGAGATCCTCGGCAAAGCCGCCGCCGGCAGCCCCGTGCGGGCTACTGCTTGAGCTGTCCCTGCGGGAGCAGCGCCCCCCGCGCGGGAGGCCGGACAGAGCCTGGCGAAACCAGGGCTGACCAACCAGTAAGACCTGGGTGGGTTCGACCGCGGCCGCCGCGCTCGCACTGATCGGCCCGAACAAAATCCAAGTTACCATTGGTGTCTTGCCTGCCCAGGGTTCGCAGATGGACAGTCACTGGCAGGAACAAGCTAGAAGGAGCCAGGGGGTCAGAAGGGGGCGCGGGGCGTGCAAAAGGGCCAACCAACAGCTCCAAATATACAGCAACCATGCCGGTAGGAATCCCCATGCCGGTAGGAATCCCCAATCGGTGTCCACCGATTGGGGATTCCTACTGGCATGGGGATTCCTACCGGATGGGGGCTAGGACCAAAAAACACGTGGCAGATCCAGACGGGCAGATCGGGCGGGTAAACCCTAACGGGCGGGTCGGGAAGGCGGGCCCAAGCGGTCAGGTCGAGCAGGCAGGTTGCTGAAGCGTGCGTCCTGCATGAATCACGAAGAAGTCTTGAGCGACAGCACGATTTCCAAATCAATCGCGAGGAAATCCACAACAAGAGAATGATTCTTGGGTGTAACGGGCGCGGCGTCTGAAAAAGTAGTGAGGAAGTCCCGCGCGAGAGAGCGACTCCTGTATAATTTGCGAGAAAGTCCCGCGAGAGCGCAATGTCGGAATACATTGTGAAGAAATGTTAGGCGGGAGCCGCTGTTGTTGTAAACCGGGGGCCAGGGCACAGGTTGGTACCCGTGGAATAACAGAAGGCGAGCCCCGAAAGAAGCACTTTCATTAAAAAACGCAATGATTACCAGAGGGGGATCAACAATAATTGTTTGTAGAAGTGTGAACCCAACAACAACTACAGCAACAACCACAACCACAACAACAACAACCATCACTTCAAGACTGTTCGGTCTCATCAGCCCGCGTGCCAGTCAACGCGTATATCCCAAACATGCGATACCCGCCCTCTTCGTCTTCAATTGTACCCCCTTGTGGGTATATATCTTTCTTACATGCAACGTGTATTTCGTGCAGCCCCTAAGGCAGGGGAAGAGAGGACGGGTGGAAAGAAGGGACAAGGGGGAGGGAGGAGCATGGAGCACTAGAAAGAATAGCAGCGGGGCTAGGACCAGAAAACACGTGGCAGAACCAGACGGGCAGATCGGGCGGGTAGACCCTAACGGGCGGGTCGGGAAGGCGGGCCCAGGCGGCCAGGTCGAGCAGGCGGGTTGCTGAAGCACGCGTCCTGCATGAATCGCGTGGCAGTCGCGAGCGATAGCGCGATTCCCAAATAAATCACGAGGAAATCCACAAGCGTGACTCCTGAGTGTCGAAGGCGCGGCGTCTGAGTAAATTACAAGTCCCACGCAAGAGCGCGATTCCTGCATAAAGTATGAGAAAGTCCCGTGCGAGAGCGCGCTTTGGAAATAACTTGTGCGGAAGTATCAGGCGGGAGCCGTTGTTGCTGCAGTTCGGGGCCCAACAACGCAGCTTGGTGACCCCTTGCTTTCCCTTGTGAAAACAAGGTGCGAGCCCCAGGAGAAGCATTTAAATTGAAAAATACAGCTGTTACTGGAGGGGGGATCTACAATAATTGCTCGTTAGAAATGAAAACTCATCAACAACAGCAACCACATCAACAACAATCAGTTTAAGACTGTTCGCTCTGACTGGCACGCGTGTTTTGCATTCTGTATACCCCAACCCTCGATACCCGCCCATTTCGTTTTTGATCGCACCCCTTTGGGGAGGGGATATCTTCTTTGTGGGCCATTGACTGCAGTGCGAGGACCTCTCGAGCGAGAGCGCCGTTCCTGAGTTCGGGGGCCTCTGGCCAGGCCAGGGGATCTCGGAATACATTTTGAGAAATATCGAACGGGAACCCTTGTCTCCGTGTCTGGGCCTCCACCAACTTGCCTGAATTACGAGAAAGTCTCGAGCAAGAGCGCCACTCTTGAGTTCGGGGGCCTCTCTGGCAAGGGCCTCTGCAAATACATCTTAAGGAAGTATCGAAGGAGAGCCCTTGTCGTCGTAGATGGGCCTCCACCAATGAAAATGAATCACGAGGACATCTCGAACGAGAGCGCCGTTCCCGAGTTCGGGGGCCTTCCTGGCCAGGGGCTCTGAGAAAATCGTGCGAAAGTATCGAGCAGGAGCCCTTGTCGTCGTGGCTGGGCCTCCGCCAACTTGGCTGAATTGCGAGGATGTCTCGAGCGAGAGCGCCGTTCCTGATTTCGGGGGCCTCTCTGGCCAGGGTGTCTCGGGTTACTTGTGAGGAAGTGTCGGGCGGGAGCCCTTGTCGTCGTAGCCGGGCCTCCAAGGGCCCACTTTTACACTCAAGCCAACGCTCGCGCGGGAGCCTCGTTTTCAAAGAGAATGTAGCCGCCGTCGAGGTGAGAGCGTGCGGAACCGTTTCCGGAGATCAACAATAATTATTCTCTGGAGATGAGTATTCAATCATCTTATCACTGCTCGTTCTTATCACGCGAGTCACTCAACATGAATACTCCCAAACCCTCGATACCCGCCCTCTTCGTCTTCGATCGTACCCCCCTTGGGGGTAGGTCTTGCTTACCTGCCACGCGTACTTGGCGCAACCCCTACAACAGGGGGAAGGAAGGGAGAAGGGAAGAGACAAGGGGGAGGAAGAAAGATGGATCAAGAGAGAGACTTGCAGGAGGGGGTCCGGAGCAGGAGTACAAGCGGCTAAACCAGACGGGCGGGACGGGCGGCCGGACCCGAGCGGGCAGGTCGGGCTGGTGGGCCCGAGAACGGCCGGGCGGAGCGAGCGGGTCGCTGAAGCGCCGATATCCAACATGAATCGAATGGAAGTTTGGAGCGGTAGCGCGATTCACAAATAAATGGTAGGGAAATCCAAGACGAGAGTGTGACTCCTGAGGGCTTGGCGCACGGCGCCGCAATAAATTGCGAGAAGGTATCACGCGAGAGCGCGATCCCTGCATGAATTCTGACGAAGTCCCGCGCGAGAGCGCGATTGTGAAATGAACTGTGCGGAAGTATCGGGCGGGAGCCGTTGTTGTTGTCACTCGAAGGCCAAGGACCAAATCTGAGCCACAAGACTTCCCCTGGTGAAAAACAGGGTGCGAGCCCCAGGCGGAACTCTCTAATTGTAAAACACCATGGGCACCAGGGGGGGTCAACAACAACTGTTCTATAGAAATGAAGATTCGACCACGAAAGCGGCTCTGGGGCTGTGGCTTGGGTTCCGGCTCGAGCTCTGGGGACCCAGACACCCGACGTCGCGATTCTGTTCACAACGTCGACCCCCAGAGGTCTTGACCCCTTCCCCAGGACCCGTTTCTCGTCCTGGGTCTTCTTGAAAAGGTCCCGGGGCCCAGTACGGGGCCCCTGAGTCCGACCAACAAAACAAAACAAAGCAAAAAAAAAAAAACGCCGCCATCTTTTCCCGACGCGAGGAGCTCTGGGCAGGCACGGCGGAGGCCCGCCGGCCGCCCGCCGCCCGCCGGCCCGCCGCCGGGCCTGGGCGCGCCCGTGGGTCCACAGCAACCCCGCGGCGGCCGCGGCCCCGAGGCCCGCCGCCACTCCGGCCGGCGCCGCGCCTGCCGCGGGCACGACGGCCGCCGACCGACCGACCAACCGACCGACCGACCGACCGACCGACCGACCGACGACGGCGACCCAGACGACGGCGACCTGGGCGACGACCCAGACATCCAAGAAGCCGCGGCGGGAGCCCGGAATCGTGGTCGCCGTTCTCGGAGGTTGGCGTTGATCCCTGGAGGCTTCCTCGCCTCGGGATGCTCTCCAGCAGCTGCGCCTCGCCGACAGGGTTCCAGGCGTGCCCGGATCGTCCCGAAAGGCCGTCGGAGACCCGATTCAAGAGCCGAAAACCAAACATGCTCGCACCTTGAAAAAATCCGACGGGGCGTTTTCAAAAGTTTTCGGCCTGTGGGGGCCCTCGCCGGGCCCTGGGACCATCAGAGAACGGCTTGGGATGAAAAGCGGGCCCTGGGGAAGCGGTCGACACTTCCCGCGACCCCGCAATGAAAAAATCAAAACATCAGACGCCTGGGGACGACGACGACGACGACGACGACGAAGACGACGACGACGACGACGACGACGACGACGACGACCCGCGGCGGCGCCGACCGCGGTCGTCGGTCGTTGGTCGGTCAGCGGTCGGCAGTCGTCGGCGGTCGTCGGCCGTCGGTCGCCGGAGTAGGCCTCAGTCGTCGCCATCGCCGTCGGTCGTCGGTCGTCGGTTGTTGGTCGTTGTGGTCGTCGTCGTCGTCGTCGTCGTCGTCGTCGTCGTCGTCGTCGTCGTCGTCGTCGTCGTCGTCGTCGTCGTCGTCGTCGTCGTCGTCGTCGTCGTGATCGTCGTCGTCGGAGGCGGCGTCGTCGGCGAAAGGAGGAAGACCATAAGGGAGGAGGGAGGAGGGCGAATGAGGAGGAGGAGGAGGAGGAGGAGGACGAAGAAGGAGAAGAGGACGAGGGGAGATGGATATGAGGTGGACGAGGAGGACGAGGAAGGATATGTCCAAGTCCAACAGCCCTAACCGAACCCGAAGGAACGGGAGGGGGCCGAATGGACGGCGCCCACGGATAACCCAGGGCGCCCGATGTGACCAATAAAATCGTCGCATGTCAATTGACCAGCAATGTCGTGCAATCAAACCCTGGATCGAAACGACCACCGCATGGAGTCGCAAGGTAGGAGCACGAGCGAGGCGAATGGCAGCACTGATCACGCTACCAGCACACGCGCGCAATGGCTGGAGCACTGTGACCGTGGCCCCGCGGACCCCTGCAACGTGCCCGACAGATGGCAGGAGCCCCGTCCGCCACAAGACCCACACGCGCTCGTGCACCACGTCTCTCAGCTGCCACACCTTCCTCTTCCTTCCCATGAGAACTTGCATTATCTCCTTCTCTGGCGCGCGTAGCACACGTACTCTGCGCAGCTCGTGCCCTACATCTCGGACATGCTACTTGGATCTCGAACAAGCTACTGGAAATACAGCACCGACCCGACGCTAGCCCAGAATTGCTCGAGGCCGTTGCACTGCAGGTACACACATCTCCCATCCAGCCGAGCCCAGCAGGGAACATACCAGCCACTGGGCAGCTGAGCCCGCGCCTGCTGAGGGTAGCCTTCTCCGGGTCAGTGTCGGGCCGCAGCGCCGTTCCACCCGCGAGGTGACCCGAGCCGCTCACTCCTGGGGAATGCACATCCCAGGTCACGCGAGCTGCCGACGCAGTCACTGATGCCGAGGACATGACTCCCGTGGCTGTCCAGGCAGGGTCCCCATCCAGCTCCGTGGAGATACGGCAACAAGTTGATCCACTCGCTGCTTCGTCCACCTCAACGACACACGTTAAAACTTCTTTGAGCAAGGTCCCGCACAGCGTCTCTACTCTTCGGATGTGCCTCGCCCATCTCTCGTCAATCCTACAGCCGTAGTCGATCTCAGCCTGCCCGTCGCGTTTCGAGCGGCTGCCACCCTTACTCCCCGAGACGTACTGATAACACCCACCTTTGGACAAGTATGGTACCACATCGGCTCCCACAATGTCGCGTCGGCCCAACAGGTCCACCTCGATCGCGTTCAGCACCTGGAGCCATGCCGCGGACAGCCCAGACTCGCTGCTTGCACTCTCAATCCAGTTGGCCACTGGTCCCCACTCACACGGGTACCTAAAACACCCCACCTTCGCCTCCGTCAGCAGTACTCTAAGTTCCTCCATCTTACGCGGCAAAAGTGGTTCACCTTTGCTGTCGACCCAGAGGCCCACGGGAAGATAAAACTTGGTGCCAGCCTCCTCCTCAACGATAGGTCTGGACGCCCTACCCCGCAAGATTTCTGCAACAAAGAAATAACCGCGGTCATGCCAGGAAGAGATTGCCTGCACGATGTCGCTCTGCTGGCCATGATGACGCCATCCACTTGAATATATCCAATCGCGGCTACGAACCACTGGACACCTAAAAGCCAGCTCCGACAACCCATGGCACACATACCGCCCCCAATTTGCAAACATACATTGGCAAGACACGCCATGTCCAGATGCTCCTGGTCGCCGACATGCCATCACCAACGAACAAGTAGACAGAGTACATGGCGATGCTTTCCTCAGCTCGCTCCCAAAATGCACTCCAGCAGCGGTTTACCTGGTGGGCACCAATACTCAATGTTCCGTCTTGCTGGCTGCTGCAATAGCTACACGCTTGGGCACTGATACAACGACTCCCGCGAATAAACCTTCAGCTGATACGGTCAAAGTTTCCAACCACACACCGTACCAACCCAACTTCCCCAACTTGTGCTCGGCGTTTGCCAGTCGGTCACTTACAACATGGCGTTCCTGGGCTCACAACACCACCGCCTTATAGTTAGGCATGCACCCCACCAAATGGCTCATCGAAATACAATTCAAAACCTGACCGTATTGTTCATCAGCCATCGTAGTCACCGTGGGAATACTGGAAGAACCACCCACCAATACGCAAATTGTATAGTATGACACGCCTGTTTCAGTAAATTCCGTCACTGAGCCACTTGGCAACTGCCTGCATGATGTCACCTCCTGCTGCAAAGACCCCAAGAAGTGTTGTAGGACATCAAGTCATTCCTGACCACTGGGAAGAACAAGCCCAGAACGATGCTCAGGATGCGGTACAGCCTGCTGCTGGGGCTGCTGTTGCTGAGGTTGTGGTCCAGCTATTGCGGCTGCACCTTCAGGCTGACTGCCAGCAGGCTTGCTGGCTGCACCTTCTTCTCCGCATCAAGCCAGACCTGCATGACACCTCTGAGTTGGGCCGATAAGGCATCCGCCCCAGTGGCACCCAAACCCCCTTGCTTTGAACACCGTTCCAAGCTACTCGACCGACGTGCTGATGTTCCCCATGGTAGACGGCAACGCGTACCTTGGGCTGCCCCTCTAGCACCTGCTTGAGCTCCGCCTCATTCGACACAAACCGCTCGAGCACCTCCACCAAGCCTTTCTCGCATCGTCCAGCACGGCACTGGCATCCTCGACGGCAAGCTTGGCCTGCTCCACTGGTTTCTCAAGCTTTTGCGTATTGTTATCCATCTGCGTTTCCTGGTTAGCCACATTATGTGCCTCCACTCAGAGGGCCGTGCCACCTGCAGCTTCGCCTAGGTGCATCTCCCTGCATCGCACTCGCATTTCGTGCCCAACTGCGAGAAAAGCTCTGCCAACTGCGTCTCGAAAGCCTTCTCGCGAGCTGGCTCTGCCCCGTCCTTCTGCCTCTGATCAGCGTCGGTGGACTCCAACGGCGACCTGGGCGGCTGGAGGCTGTGGAGAGCAACGCCTTTGCCGAGTCCGCATGCCCCCCCACGCACTTCTTCGACGATGCTTGATTCCACCATCTCTATCCACTCCGATCCGCGCACCACCTGCACGGCCACGGCTGCGCAGAGGCCACTCGTTGCTGCTGGGGTCGAGGCACTGGCGCCAGGGCCTGCCGCTGTCGAGCGAGACAGGGGCTCACCACCGACCAGAGCACAGCCGAGTCGTAGGTCGGGCGCATGTCATCACACAGGCGAATGTTGTAAGAAACCTCCTATATATATGTATATATATATGTACATAACAGAAAAATAGCACTAAAAATTGTCGCCGCACTATGTTTTAAACAAGTCTTGAACGTTCCTCCTCTAGAGGGACATGCCCGACTTAAGCCCAGTCTTGGCAGTGAATGCAACGCGGTGTGAGGCGGCCCACACAGCGCTCTGCCTGGGGCTGACCAGGCCACTCTCGGAGGACTGGCCGCGGAACAGCTGTATCCACTGGGTCCGCGGGGAACCTCAAAATCTTGGGCCAAAATGGCTACGGAGGGGACAAGGAGGAGGATGATGAAGGGGAAGAGGTGGAAGAGAGCAAGGAGGAGGACGAAAAGCAGACGAGCCTAAGAGAGAAGAAGGAGGAGGAGGAGGAGGAGGAGGAGAAAGAGGACGGCAATGGTGTGGGGATGAGGGGAGGACGAAGAAGAGAGGGCAGGACATGAGGGGAGCACGTGGACAGGGAAATGCAGGGAGGAAGGGAGGAGGAGGAGGAGGAGGAGGAGGAGGAGGAGGAGGAGGAGGAGGAGGAGGAGGGAGGAGGAGGAGAGGAGGAGGAGGAGGAGGAGGAGGGGGGAGGAGGAGGAGGAGGAGGGAGGAGGAGGGAGGAGGGGGGAGGAGGAGGAGGGGGATGAGGAAGAGCTTTCAGGGGGAGCGCGCGGCCGAGGACAGAGCAGAGCCGAGGCCTCGCCTCCGCCGCCAGGCCACGCGGAGAGAGCCGCGGCAGGTGGCGAGGGCCGCGCCGCGGGCGAGGGCGGCGCGATGGTGAGCAGTTGGATGCTCTCGCGGCTCTCGTCCTCATCCTCCCCGTCGCCGCCGCCGCTGCGGCGGTTGCCGCCGCCGCCGCCGCCGCCGCCGAGCAGCGAGGAGGACCAAGGACAGAGATGCTTGCACGCCCTTGGCTTGGCGATGCCCGGGCCTCTCGCTCACTCCAGGGGCCTCCCGAGGCATCTGGAGGCTTCACGCAGACCTCTGCTGAGGCCTCCAGGGCCTCCAGAGGCGTCGTCACAGTCGTCGCTGGGATTGCGCCCCACCTGCTGGGGGCGGGGTGGCGTGACCCGAGCCGCCCGAAAGCGCGGCCACGACGGGCCCCCGCCCCGAAAAAAACACAGAGGCCACGAGGAGGAGGTTGGAGCGACATTGGGGGGGAGTGATGTCATCATCAGCGCCGACGCTGCAACCGTCGACGAGCACCGCCAAGGAGCACTTCGACAGCCTGCAGGGCAGCACGAGCTAACGAATTCGAGTCTCCCGGGCTGAGATGCATCGAGTCGGTTCACTCTCTTCGTGGGCCAGAGGATACAAATTGAAAAATGAAGGCTACGTATTGAAAGGCGTCGGCTTGGGGTTGGATCAGGCCAAGGGCGAGGAGACGGAGGATGAGGACGAGGAAGCGAACGACGGCGACGACGACGTCCTCGTTGTCCTCCGGCTCGTAGGCCGCCACCGCCGCGGCGGCGTCCGCGCGGGCGGCGGTACCGTCCTCCGCGTCGGCCGCCTCTGCCGCCTCGGCGGCGACGACGCCGACGCCGACGCAGCCGCCACCGACGACGACGACGAAGACGCCACCCACGACGCCGACGCAGCCGACGAGGACGACGACGAAGACGACAACGACGACGACGACGACGACGACGACGACGACGACGACGACGACGACGACGACGACGGCGACAGTGACGACGACAAGGATGCCGACAGCGACGACAACGACGACGACAACGACGATGACGACGACGACGACGCCATCGACGACGATGACGACGGCGACGACGACGACGACGACGACGACGACGACGACGACGGACGACCGACGACAGACGAACGGCGACGGACGACCGACGACCGACGACGGACGACGGACGACGGATCACGGACGACGGACCACCGACGCCAACGAGAACGAGGACGAGGACGACGACGAGGACAACAACGACGACGACGACGACGTCGACGACGACGACGGACGGCGACGACGACAGCGACGACGACGACGACGACGACGACGGACGACGACGACAACGACGGCAGCGACGACGACGCCGACGACGACGACGACGACGACGCCGACGACGGACGACGGACGACAACGACGGACGATGGACAACCGACGACGGACGACCGACGACGGACGCTCGACGACGTACCTCCGACGACTGTCGACGGACGACGGACGACGGACGACGGACGACGACGACGACGACGACGACGACGCAGCCGACGACGACGACGACGACGACGAGGACAACGACGAGGCCGACGACGACAACGAGGACGGACGACAGCGACGACGACGACGACCACGACGACGACGACGACGACGAGGACAACGACGACGACGTCGACGACGGCGACGACGACGACAGCGACGACGACGACGACGACGACGCCGACGACGGACGACGACGACGACGACGACGGCGACGCCGACGGACGACAACGACAGACGACAACGACGACGGACGGACGACGACAGACGACCGACGACGACAACGACGACGGACGACGGACCACTGACGACGGACGCCGCACAACGGACAACTCACGACGGACGACGGACGACGACGACGACGACGACGACAACGCCGACGACGACGACGACGACGCAGCCGACGACGACGACGACGACGACGACGACGACGCCGAGGACGACAACGACGACGGACGACCGACGACGACGACGACGACGACCGACGACGACGACGGACGACGGACGACGGACGACAGACGACGGACAACGGTCGACGACAACGACGAGGACGACGACGAGGACGACGACGAAGACGACGACGACGACGAGGACGACGACGATGACGACGATGACGACGACGACGACGACGACGCCGACGCCGACGCCGACGCCGATGCCGACGCCGACGCCGACACCGACGCCGATGCCGACGCCGACGCCAACGCCGACGCCGACGCCGACGCCGACGCCGACGACGACGACGACGACAGACGACGGACCACTGTCGACGGACGCCGCACGACGGACGACGGACGACGGACAACAACGACGACAAGGACGGCGACGACGACGACAACGACGACGCCGAGGACGACAACGACGACGGACGACGACGACGGACGACCGACGACAACGACGGACGACGGACGACGGACGACGGACGACGGTCGACGACGACGACGAGGACGACGACGACGACGACGACGATGACGACGACGCCGACGCCGACGCCGACGCCGACGCCGACGCCGACGCCGACGCCGACGACGACGACGACGAAGAAGACGACGACGACGTCGACGACGGCGGCGACGTCGACGGCGGTAACGTCGGCGGCGGCGACGTCGGCAAACGGAGGGCGGCGGTGGCGGACGAAGGCGGCGGCGGCGGCCCGCCATCGCTGTTGGCCAGGGCCGCGAGGGCCCGGCTGGCGACGGCGCCCGCGGCGCGGCCGGCCGGCGCGGCGGGGGCGCGCGCGCGCGCGCGCGGGACAGGATGGGGACGGCTTCGTCGTCACCGTCGCCGTCCGTCGCCGTCGGTCGTCGACAGTCGTCGCCGCCTCGTCGGCCGTCGTCGGCCGACGTCTTTCGCAGTCCGCCGTCGTCGGTTGTCGTCGGCAGCCGACATTGACGTCGTCGGCGGTCGACGGTCGTCTCCGTTGCAGTCGGAGGGTCGCCGTCGTGCGCTGTCGTCCGTCGTCGTCCGTCGTCGGTCGTCGTCGTCGTCCGTCGTGGTCGTCGGCGGTAGGCGGTCGTCGTCTTCGCCTCTCAAGAGTCCGAGGTGATGTATCGGCGCTGCTGGCCTCACTTCTGGCCCCTGGAGGCCTCCGGAGGCCCCCCATGGGCCCTCGGGGGCCCCCGAAGCCCTCCGCGGCTCTCCCCGTGGACATCCAGAGACTCCTGGACGACGGCGGTCGTTGTCGCCGTCGTCGGTCGCCGTCGTCGTCCGTCGGTCGTCCTCCGTCGTCGTCTATCGTCTGTCGTCCGTCGTCCGTTCTCGACTTCGGTCGGGCATGTCCTCCTGCAGGCGGATTTTGGAAGGATACAGGAAAAATAATCGAAACAGAAGTCGAAAATAGCCAAACAAGCACGAAAAATCGTCACGAGACTTTTGATGTACAATTATGGAATAGTCCTCCTGTAGAGGGACATGCCCGACTTCATCGTCGACCGCCCACGCCCGTCGGCTCCCGTCGGTGTCGGCGCTCCTCTGCGCGCGCGGGCATGCGGGGCGGGGTGTGGAGGATGGCAGGGGTGAGGGAGGAGGGGGCGGCGAGGACGAGAAGGGGAAAGGCGGCGGATGGCGAGGGTGAGGGGAAGGGAGGAAGGACGAGGGAGGAGGGAGGGTGGGAGCGAGGAGGAGTGGGGGCAGGAGGACAAGGACGATGAGGAGGAGGAGGAGGAGGAGGAGGGAAGAGGGAGGAGGGGGAGGAGTCGAGGGAGGATGACCAGGAAAGAGAGGAGGATTAGCACGGACTGCCAGTTGGGGTCCCAATTTGCAAAACCAGCGGAGCAGGGCTGAACGAGTGGGTTTGAGTGAGCGTGAGTCTGAGTATGAGTGGATCTAAGGGTGAGTGAGTCTGAGTAGTAGGATTTCTGAGTGTCAGTGGGTCTGAGTGTGAGTGTATCTGAGTGTGCATGAATCTGAGTATGAGTGATCTGAGCGTGACGAGAAAGAAAGAAAGCGGGATTGAGCGAGGAACTGAAGGCGTCCCAATAATAACAAGAACCTCATGCCTAGGATATGGGCAAAAAAGGCGGGACTGAAAAAGTCATACCGCCTGAGATCTGGGCACCGTGCCCACACCGTAGGCCTTACCCCCCCCCTTCTGGAGCCCCCGATCAGCCCAGGGAGGGGGGGAGGGGGGGGAGGGGGAGGAGGTGGGCAAAGGGAGGAAGGGGGAAGGAGGGGGAGGACGAGGAGGAGGAGGAGGAGGAGGAGGAGGAGGAAGAGGAGATGCACAACCCATTGAATGAGGTGGAGAGGGAGGTCCAGGTTAGAATTATCCCAGTGCGACCCTACCTAGGAGTTGGAGGATCTAGGAAAGCAACATCTATATCTAAACCGAAAGCTACATCAACATCTACACCTGCATCTACATCCACATCAACATCAACAGCGAAATTCACATCTACATCTACATCTACACCTACATATACACCTACGTCTACATCAACATCTACACCTACAACTACATCTACATCTAGGGCTCTGGGGGAACCGCGGGGCAGATCCTGGGGAACCGCGGGGCGGATCCTGGGGGAACCGCCCGGGGCGAGCCCCACTGCCCGGCTCTTTCAGCTTACCGAGTAAGAACCCTTCTAGGCAGAGCCTAGGTAGGGAAAGAGAGCGCGGAGAAGGAAAACGGGGGTGGGAGCGTCCATTGGACGAGGTGCTCTTGGAGGAGCCGTGCTGTTCCCCCGCCTGGTTCCATCCCCAAGCGGGGGCCCCCCTTGAAAGCTAGCTCGCCTCGGGGTCGCGGTCCTCCCTGCGAGCCCGGGCCGCCGCTCGAGCGGCCAGCTCTCGCCGGCCCAGGACCTCCCGCCCCCGAGCGGCCCTGCAGACCGAAAGCACGCTACCAGACTGGCATCAGCGACAGGCGCGCTGGCGGAGCCCGGTGCTGAGCTGCCAGAGCTCCCAGCAAAACTGCGAGGCCACCGGCTGCACCACGCGGACCGCGAGCACGGCCACGAGGGCCACAGGCACGACCACGAGGGCCTCCAGCCGAGCCACGAAGAGGCACCGGGAGAGGCACCAGGGCCACCTGCTGAGCCACAGGAGCCGCCAGCAGAGCTGCAGGTGCCACTCGCCGAAGGGCGCACTGCGAGACCGATTGGCTTGAAGGCGCGGACAGACCTCCATGGACTGAAAGGCATACTTGGATCCTACGATGCTGGATGCTGGTAGCGGGCGCTGTTTTTTTTCCTTCTGGCGCCTATTCCATTAGTTCCAAGCCGGACGGCCTCGAAGCAATTGGTGGGCATACGAAGCGCAAGCTGGGCGCTATATTCCAGAGGGCGGCCGACTCTTCACAGGTACACCAAGTATCTCCCAGACGATGATGTGATCCAGAAGCTATACGGCATAGCAGCCGCGGAAGGGCAGTCAGGCGTAGCGAGCTTCTTCCTGACGCTGTGTGGCGACGAACGTGCCTTCGATGTGATATACGGTCGAAACGCAGACGCCTGAGTGAGGATGACTACTGAGAGCTACCTAGATTCCAAAACAAGTCGGTGCCTCGCGACTGACATACTGTGCTACCGAATGCCTGCGTCTTCAGCGCTACGGACAAGGTACGCCACGTACATCGCCACGCGCAGTGCACACCGCGTACATCGTCACGCGCAGGGTACGCTGCCCCCCGCCCGAACCACAGCATCACTTGAGCGGCACGGCCGCTCCTTGCCTCCCTCTCTTGCCTGTTTTGATCCTCAGGAGGTCAGGTTGGTTTGTAACCTCTCCCCGCTCCTCCCCCCTCTGGAGTTGGTCCCCCGGTGGCGCCCGGGGGGCCGCACTCACGCGTCGGCCGGGCCTTTCGCAGGGCCCCGCGCGGGCGAGAGGGGGGTTTTGGGACGGCAGAAGCCACTGCGATAGAGAGCGAGGAGGTGGAGGGGGAGGAGGAGGGGCGAGGAGGGGCGAGGAGGGGCGAGGAGGGGCGAGGACAGGAAAGGAGGAAGGACGAGGGGGAGGGAGCACGGAGCAGCAGGAGAGGAGCAAGAGGGGAAGGGATAAGAGGGAGAGGGACAAGGAGGAGGAGAAGAAGGAGGAGGACGCGAAGGAGGAGGAGGAGGAGGAGGAGGAGGAGGACGCGAAGGAGAAGGAGGAAGAGGAAGAGGAGGAGGACCGAGAGCGAAGAGTGAGGAGGGGGTCTTTTCGCCGCGCTGCCCCGCCTGCTTTCGGCGGGCGCGAGGCAAGGCCCTCCCCGCGCCGCGCGGACGGGGGCGGGGGAGGCCCCGGGGCAGTGCGCGGTCGGGGGGCCGCTGGGGGGAAGCCGCTGGGGGGAGGCCCTCGGCACGGAGGAGGGACGGGGGAGGCAGGGTGTCACCGAGGGAGGAGCTGGAGGAGGAGTGGGAGGAGGAGGAGGAGGAGGACGAGGAGGAGGAGGAGCAGGAGGAGGAGGAGGAGGAGGAGGAGAAGGAGGAGAGGGGGGAGGAGGAGGAGGAGGAGGAGGAGGAGGAGGAGGAGGAGGAGGAGGAGGAGGACAAGGAGGACCAGACCACACCAAAGAGGCATCGGCTCCCGTCCCAATTCCCCCCTCACGCGCCCGTGCAAGTGTTCCTTCTCACCACAAGAAGCGCCCCGGTTGAAAGGCCAGCACACTTGGGCCCGCCATTGTGGCAAGGGCCTCGCTCTGAAAAAAGAAATCGCCTCGCATAGCTCTGTCGCGTGATCATGAACGCGGGAACTACGATCGTACAGTTCAGAGAAGCGTCCACGGAGATCCCCCTTTTTCGACGAAGGACCGCCACCGCCCGCCAGTGCAACTGCTGCACACGCTTGCAAGTGTGGCCACGCACTCGAAGACAGCTCGAGCGGCAGCTCTGCTGTGGAACGGAGTCCCCCTGGAGCCGTGCAGCCCTGCACGAGTTTACAACTTCGGACTTCCAACCAAACGACGTCTCACGCGAGGACTCCATGTTTGGCCCCAAAAAACAAAAATAAGTCGGATCATAAGTTGCATTACCAAACAACACAAGCGCGCGGCGCTGAGGGGAGGGTCCCTGTTTGCCCAACGGCCCGTGCTCATTCCTTGGAGCTGAGGAAGATGTTGAAACGAGGAGTCGCGGCGCGAACGCGGACATACCGTGTGAGTATTCAGGGGAACAGGTAGTGGGCATCGCCGAAGCTGATGTCCATGTGGAGGGAGGAGCCTGCCTATACCCGTCTCTGGGATGCTGATCGGCCGCGAGGAGAAAGGCCCACATCATCGACCACGGGGGCGACTTCGCCAACGGCGGAGACCGACGAGCAACACGACTGGAAGAAGACGGCGGCTGCAGTAGCGCCGCCGAGCAGCACGACGAAGCGCGCCTCTAGGCGCAAGAAGCGAGGAGGGCCGAGACCTGCCCCCTCCTCGACACGACGACCGAGGGCAGGCAGAAGGTACTCGGGTCGGCGGGCTGCGGCCCCAAATAGAAACACCACACCCAGCAGCAAATACTCACCAAGGAGCTGAACCGGACAGCCCACGCATGCACGACTGCGACCTAGAGCAGCGCGGCAGAACTCAACCCCACTTGGGAGGTGCAGTTCGACCCACGACCCTGGCCCACAAGCGCAACCAGGGCCAGCCAGCCGAGCGAAGGCCCGACGACAACGTCAGGGAGCCACGCTCGGAGCCTTCGGCGGGCAGATGGAGCCGCCACTCGGTGACCGCAGCCCACGGCGCAGGCGCAGCAGCGGCGGCTGGGCCGCCACGTGCCCGCCCACGCAGACAGCCTGGTAGGAGCCTGCGGGACGCACTACCACGCCAGCAGCATCACCGACAACGCCATCGACGACCTCCCCGATCGCGAGGAGGAGCACTACAGCGACGCCACGGGGCCTGCGCGGGGCCAGCCAGAGGTAGACAGGTCAGGCAGGAGCCTGCGGGGCGCACTACCTCACCATCCCTCGGGCGCCCCGACAGGAGCGCGCACCCACTTTTTGAGACAGCCATCTCCGCGGTCGTCGGCATGTCCCTGGACGCCGCCGAGTACGGTTTCGACCCCGGAGGGCCCCGACCCCTTCCGCAGAGCAGTCCGCGGAGGGGGCGCTGGAGGAGGTTTTTGCAAACACAGGCTCTCCTCGCGTGCGACAGCGAGCTTGAGCCCACTCACCGCTGGAGAAGATTACACACCCAGTGGAAATGAACACCGACATGAGAACGACACCGCCGACGGCAACATCAACACCACAGTGACCCGGGCGCCCTCCAGGATCAATGCGCCCCGCCGTCGAGCACGTCGCAAGGGAAGTGGAGACGAAGGAGGAGAACACCACCACCACCACTAAGCCGTGCATCCTGCGGGACGCGTGGGCGGAAGAGCGCGCGATTGGCGACTCTTCAAAAATCCACAACAGAGAGCGAGCACGCGGAGCACCCCGCGATTGCGAAGCAGGCAGCTGAAGAGGAGCAGGAAGGCTTACGCAGAAGGAGGACAAGGAGGTTGAGGTTCCTACCCGAGGACGAGACGCGCCAGGTCACCTTCTGCCTGAGCCAAGAGCGCCACGACTACCCGCGGGACGACAGGAGAAGGCAAGCCAACGAGCTTGCCCACGGCGAGAAAACCCACGCCCACACATCCGACCCCCCCCACCCGCTCGACAAACACGCCCTAGACCGTATCAGGTACACCACGACCTTGACCAGCTTCCCACGCTCCCCCCCCCCAGCCCTCCGACGCCGACCACCTGTTTCACGACCACGAGACGGAGCCCCCTTGCGAGGCAAGACCCGAGCCGCGAGGCCGAACGGCTTCTCCTACCGACCTCCCTTGGCGTTAGGACGCAAAGACCTGAGGAAGCCCCGAATGCGCGGGAACTCCTCAGGGAAGAGTCGCCACGTGAAGCTGGAGGCGCCCGGACGCAAAGTCCTGAGGAAGACCCGGATGCGCGGGAACACCTCAGGCACAAGTCGCCACGTAAAGCTGGCCATACACGCACGACCCCCGACACCGAGACGACGCCCCCAACCTACAACGCCGACATCGAGGCGCCGCTGCCCAGGTGAGGCAAGGCTCGAACTTCGAGACGGGCTCGAAGGGCGGGGGGGCAGGACGAGCACTGCCCGCGCCTGCCAGGGGCGATGGTGAGGGGCACGGGGGGGGTAGGACGGCCACTACCCGCGCCCCCGCGATCCGCCCTAGCTCGCCACCCCCACCATCCCCACGGAGGAGGAGGTGCTCACCCGAACGCCGACGAGGCGGAGCGCAAGGCAGCGGCGACCCGGCCCAGAATACACAGCAGCAAGCACGAGGCCTGGGGTCCGCCCCCACCGAGGGCACCGTGACCCCTAGCCATAGCGGGACGAGGTGAGACAGCCATGAATCCCACTTGAAGCCGGTGCACGGAGGCCAACCGAGTGCAACAAGCCCCATCCCACCACCAGCTCAAGCGACCAGCCGCCACCACGGCCCACCGACGACCGGCGCCCACTTCCGACGGGAACCGCCACGTTCACCCGACGTACGAGACCCGCCAAGCCAACACAACCACGCAGTTCCGATGACATGCCGATGCGAGGTCAACGACACCTTTGGAAGCATCATCGAACAGGAAGGTTGCATTCTGCAGCTGGGGTCGGATTTCGACTCGCACGGCCTGGGCGACCTGGCGAAGATGGCCCTCGTGCTCGCGCCCATCGGCGAGAACGACGGCCCTCAGTACCAGGAGATGCACATCTACACCGATGGCTCACACTACGAGTCCAGCTGCGAGAACGACGGATGGGCCGCTGTGGTCGCTACTGTGAGCCAGAGGGTGTACAACGCTAAGGGCTACGCAGCGGGCCGCACCAGGACGGCCTCCAGATACACCGAGGCAAGCTCCCTGGACAGCACCGCGTCCGAGCTGGTCGCGATGTTCTGGGCGCTGGCGTACGCGCTGGGCAAGACTGGCATCAGCACCATCATCAACGACTCTGCCCATGCCATCGCAGCGGCCAACAAAGCTGCCGTGTACAAGCCATTCGAGAAGCTCCCCCGCTGCGTCGCGATACTATCACACGAGGTCAGGCACCATCACGCACTAGAAGTCCGACACACAAAGTCCCACGACTTCGACCTCTGGAACCAGGTGGTGGACGCGATCGCCAAGCAGATCCACAGGGCGGACCACGACACTGCCATGAACGCCGTGATCCACTACCTGCCCGAGCTCGAATGGTGCTTCCTGAAGTACGACCAGAGCGCTGCCAGCAAATAACCCTGTCTGGGCGAACAGGGCTTCGTATACGATGTGGAGCAGCAGCAGATCAATGTCAGCGAGGAGGGGCACTTCGCGCTGCACAGCCACACCCCAGGCGATCCCAAGCCACACCCGCCTGCGCACGTGAAGGTCGCGACGTACAACGCCATGAGCCTGGCGAAGGCGAGATGCAGGAAGACGAGGAAAGGAGTGGCCCCGCAGTGCGGAAGAGGACCTCAAGAAGCACAGGCTACTCATCATTCGGAACACGTTCATCGACTGGAGGGTTCCCATTATTGGCGGCGTACAGGAGGCGCACGGAGCCGATGCGAAGGACTACGCAGACGGCTGCATACATCTCAGGTCGCCAGCAAACGCGGGAGGACACGGCTGTGCTCTACTCGTCGCCACAGGGACCCCCTACGCCTCCAGAGGGGACAGGGACCTGCACTTCACAAAGAAGCACCTGAGGGCCCTCCACCGCGCGCCGACGCTCCTCACAGTCAAGATTGCGGCCCCAGCCTTCACAACGGTTTGCGCCGTGGCGCACGCACCACAGCATCACGTCAACATCGCGGAGCGACAGAAATGGTGGCACGACATCAAGACACAGGCGAAGAAATTCAATGTGGACACGATCTTCATAGACGCGAACGCCCAGCTGGGCGTCAACTCCGCCGCGGCTCAATGGATCGGACCACTCGGCGCTGCACCAAAGAGCGACGCCAATGGCAAGCAGCTGGCCTCGGCGGCACGCGAGCTCGACATGGCGGCGGTCAACTCGCACTACGACGGCGGCCCCACATACAGGGCTAACGGGTGCCAAGACAAGCGCGTCGACTACACCATGATGAGGCCCGCGTACCACGAGTGCGTACAGCACTGCTACGTGGAGCACGACTTCGACAACGGCCTCAAGGCCCACGACCACAACCCTGTCATCGCCGAGGTCAGGGTCGCTTCGACCGCCCCCACCCCCAAGCCAACGACGAGATCACTATGTAGAGCGAAGTATCCGGACGAGCACGCGAAGATCAGATACAGTGAGGCCCTCAAGATAGACGAGTCCACGTGGGACGACGACGTCAACCTGCACTACCAGAGGATCGCGAAGGGAATTGCAGAAGCGTCGTCGAAAGCTTTCGCCAAAGACCCACTAACTCCCACACAATCCCACGTGTCCTTGCAATCGATGCGGCTCATTCGGGCACGGCGGCATGCAAAGCGCGAATGGCGCTTATGGAAGACGGCTGGTGGCAACTTCAACAACCTGATGACCCATCTGCCATACGAAGAACAGTTGATATACCCCGAAGGCACGCCAGGACGCCAGGAGACGTTGCCGCTGGCCTTGGCCATGAGTACGCTGGCCGACGGTACCATCGACGTCTCAGAAGCGGCGGCGGAGGTAAAGAGGTACTTGATGGCGCCAACGAGTGCCTCCGCGCATCCCTGGACGACGACAAGAGACGGCACAACGATCGGTACGCGTCCCAGCGCAGTGAAGCCCTGCAGAACAGAGACAGCCAGAGCGAATGGAGATGGCTAAAGAAGATCCTGAAATTCGGGGGCGGTCAGCAAGGCAGATTCAAGGGCGGCAACATTATTCCGTACCGCCTTGGCGAGAGCAACGTGATCGACGACGAGCAGAAGCTAGCGGCAGCCCAGATTAGACACTACGCCAAAACGGAGGACGCCGTTATCGGGGACCGCGTTTCCGCGGCCAGACGGCACAGCCAGTTCGACACTAGGGCGCTGGAAGACGTGCACACCAACATAGAGAACGTGCAGACCTTGCTGGACACAGAGCTGAGCCTGCGGCGATTCAAGCGCGGCCGCGCACCAGGGGACGACGGCATCGCGAACGAGGTGCTGGCCATCGCACCACATCGCCACGCAAAGGAGATCCACCCGCTGCTGACCAAGACCAGCTTGCAGATGCAGGAGCACCTGGCCTTCAAGCATGCCACCCTAGCCGAGATTGGCAAGGGCAAGGGCGACACATCACGACAAGAAGAGTACAGACCCATTACATTATGCAACACCATCGCCAAGCATCACTACAAGTTCCTGCGCAGCGAGCTCAAACACGCGGCGACGATCATCTACCTTGATTCGCAGGTCGGCGGCCGTGAAGGGAATGGCGCCACGCTAGCGACCCACCAGATACGTTGCCTGCAACACCTTGCTAAACGCACCAGGCGGACCCTCACGCTCCTCTTCGTAGACCTGAAGGCCGCTTTTTACCGCGTCGTGCGACAGCTGTTGCTTCAGATCCCCCAGCACGCGCATGACGGCGACGCCATATGCCATGAAGCTGACATCCCCGACGTCCTCCGCCAGATCCTCAGCGGCATCCTCGCATAGCCTGGCCTGCTACAGAAGCACATTACCGACCCTCACCTACAGACCGTCGCCGCTGAGGCACAGCGACTCACATGGCTCAACATGGCGGGGCAGGAGGACACGGGGGGCTCGCGACGTGGCACCCGCACCGGGGCCCCGCAGGCCGACATGCCATTCAACATGGCCTGCACGCGACCGCTCACCACGATAAACCAGAGGATGCTGCACGAAGAGCTCACCATCTCGGTCAAGGAGTACCTCGGGGCGCCGAATCTCCGTACAGCCCGCCAGTAGGACCTAGACTGGTGAGTGACATTACGTACGCGGACGACACTACCTTCGCCGTGCTCTCGAACGGGCTGGCCGACACCCTGGCCCGCACTAAGCACGTGGCGGACATTGTGTACGAGAGTTCCCGCATCCACGCGATGGAGCTAAACATGGGGAAGAACAAGACAGCGGCCCTGATCTGCGTCAACGGCCACAAGTCCAAGCAGACGCAGCTCCACCTCTACGAGAAGCCCACCAAGCTGACCACCGACGAATGGGGCCTAGAGATCGACGTCGTACGCGAGTACCAGCACATGGGCACCACCATCACCACCGAGGGCTCATGGGGACCCGAAGTGCAACGACGGGTCATTGCCCACGAGAACGCCTTGGACCCCACGCTGCGGACCGTCTTCGAAGACGACATCCTCCCCGCCAAGTCGGGCGCCAATTCCGTCGATGCGATGACCAACGCGAGGCTCACATGCCAGGCCGAGCTCTGTTGCGGCATGACGGCGGCCGACCAGAAGAAACTGAAAGCAGCACACGTCAAAGGCTACAGAACAGCAGCGGGACCCCAGTGCCGAAATCGGGTAGCACAGCACGTCACCGGCCAGGAGGTCTGCGTCGCCACGGGGCGAGCGGGGCTCGACGCCACTGCCACGGCTGGCAGGCTGCGATACTTCAACAAGATCGTGCGCAGTGCCCCCGAGACGATCCTCGACCTGTTTGATTTTGCCCTCCAAACAAACGACCCTTGGCACGGACAGCTGAAGCGTGACTTCGGCTGGCTGCAGCACCACACGTGCGAGAGGGGACTGCCGTCGAGGGACGACGTCAAGGGGTGGATCGAGCACTGGAAGTCGGGGACCAAGAAGATGCCAAAGCTAATCCAGAGAGCTTGGGAGGCGCACAAGAGGTCGTGGATCGAGGACTGCAAGCACCATCTGTGGAAGCGATCGCGGGCGGAAGGACTCTCCGAAGGAAACACAGGCGACCCTCCCGAACACCAGCAAGATCAACACCGTGATGTGACGCACTATGTCTGCTACGACTGCGGTGCCGCCTACTCGACGGAGGCGTCCCTCAAGAGGCACCGCACCAAGAAGCACCTCCCGACAGAAGACGCACAATTCTACGCCGTCGGATCTCGATGCGAATGCTGCGGCATGGATTCCACAATCGGGTGCGATTCGTCCGCCAATTGCGCCATCGCAATACTGGTTGCCTCCACGCATACATTGCGAACCGCGACCCGATGGACCGCGACTAACGACGACACGAAGATCATCAAGAACCTAAAGAGCAGAGGATGGAGAGAAGACAAGGCACTACAGCCCGCTAAGAGGCGTGCGCAGACCGAGGACGCCGTCGACCGACCGCCTCCGCTCGAATGACCTGCCGAAGCAATGCAGCGTATACAGCACCCGACCGTCAACATGCGACAAGCGCACGAGGGCAGCACACCTCCCCGCCCCGCGGCCACAAGCGGGGACACGTCGGACGGGGAGGGCATCATCTGGCTGATTGATGGCGACACCGAGAAGGACCAGACGACGAAGAAAAACCTGCGGGACAACGCGGACGGCAACTACGTATTGATGGAGACTGCCTTCCACGACGAGGAGCTGGACCTGCACGACGGGCTCCAGGCGAGAACCCGATGGTCTCACACCGTGAACCAGTGCAGCGCCATCGTAATCATCCCGAGGAGCTCGACCTGGACGGCAGACACAGACGTCGAGATGGCTCTGCGAGAGTCGACGGCACCGTGGGGAGCCAAGCACCTCTCGCAGTCCAAGATGCAAGCAGTCGCAGCGGACAACGCCGAGCTGCGATTGGCCATCGATGTCACGGAGGCGGCCGCCAAGATGAAGATCCCGTGTGTTCTGATCTTGTCGCCGCGCCTCGCAGACCGCCCACACCCGAGCACGCTGGACGAGTTCTCTACGATGCGAGCGTCGCGGACGGAGAGCAGGAGGGTGGTCTGCGCCAGCGGCATAGACCTGCAGCACCAGACGACCACGGAGCGGGAGCTGCGCGATCTCTTGAGTGGCGCCGTGGCCGCGCGCAGCCTCTGCCTGGTCGCCAGCAGGGGCGTCGATCGCCTCTCTGCGTCGTCCGGCGTCCCAGCACCCCATCCTCGATGACCCTCGCCTCCCAGAGGCCGCCCCCGGGTGGCATCAGAGCACAACCCGGAGCAGAGAGCCGGGTCCCACTTCAGGGGCCGAGAGCTCCGGGGTCGGGTCGGGCACTTCCTTCCAGTGCTGCACACCTCGGCGCACCTCGCGCTGCACAAGGCGCGGCGGCAGCCGCGCGAGGGTGGCCGAACCGGCCGCGCCGCGAGGCCCCCAAGGGGCTGCTGCCCCACGCTCGAGTCCGAACCCAGCCCCCCCCCCCCTGCCTCTGGCCCTCGGTGCCCCTCGAGTCCGCTTCACCCTTGGGGGCTGAGGTTCGGCGACCGCTCATCCCACAGTGTTTGACGGCGCGTCGCCGCCGCGTCTCACCACCACCCAACCACGGATTCGGCTGGCTGCTGGCAGCAGGCTGCAGCTGGCTACCTGGGTGGCGGTGAGGCGCGGCCGCGACCAAGAGCACAGTACAAGGCCACGGGCCTTCCTTCCCCTTTCCTGGCCCTTGAAGCCCCTCCCTCCCCCCCTCCTCGTGGGTCTGCGGGCCCCCCGCCTCTCTTCCTCGCGCCCTGGCGGGCGCCCCCCTTCTTGCGCGTCGGGCCCTGCCTCGACCCCTCTCGGGCTTGCCCGCGGGTGTCTTGGGTTTGGGTTCCCCGCTTCCCCTTCCTCCGAGCCTTGGAGCATATCTGCCCCTCTGGCGGGGGCCCTGGGAGCCAGCGGCGCCGCGCGACGCGGCGGCGCGGCCTGTGGAGGTGCTGGACACCGCGGCGCGCGCCATGGGGTGAGTGAGTGAGTGAGGAGGAGGCGGAGGGAAGGGAGAGACGGCCCTCAAATGACCGACTGGACGCTCGACTCAGCCACCGCAAAAGAATGGTCGTGCCCGGCGAAGACGCGGGTGGCCCGGAAATGGCCCTCCAAGTGGTCCACCAGCACGGGCACCTTCAGTGCCGAGAGCGCGCAGGAGGGTCTTGGCGAGGGAGCAGAAGAAGAAGAAGAAATAACAACAACTGCGTACGGCAGGTTCGTGCCGTGACGATGTCGGCCTTGGCTTATGACATGGCGTGGATCGTTCAACCTCGAACGATCCGCGGCTCTTCGATCACCAGATCGTCCCGTGTTGGACGATAATGGGCCACTGGCGGCGGTCCCGCTGCGTCGTTGCCGCGTCGGCACGCCACGAACCGACCGTAAACCTGGATTTTTGTTGGAGGTCCGGAAGAGGTCAAGCTACCCACCCGCCCGCAAGCCGACTCGTTCACTCCCACCCGTCCTCTCAACTCACACACAACTCAACCTATTTGTAGAGTCGAACTGTGCTAAAAATGTAGGCACCAAACCAGGGCACGCAACAAGCACGACAACCATCTGGAGAAATTCGCGCCGCGTCCCACGGCGCGCCAAGCAGGCGCAAGTCAGATTGTTGCATGGGCGCAGCCAAAAAAAAAAGAGCGCGCAATACATATATGAAGACTGCGCAATCAATCAAAAGAGTGCGCAATCGTTCGGGCGCGCGTTTTCGTCGTTTCACATATATAATGGGCACATACTGGACGAAAATCTTCGGCACGCCAAAAATTGCAACGTCTTCTGGGCGCATGTTCGCTGCCTTTCTTCATGCGAAAGGAATGCAACGTCTTCAGAGCGCGTTTTGGGTGACGTACCTGTTGCGCCAAAACTATGCAACGTCTTCAGAGGGCATTGTGGTTGACATACTTTCTGCGTTAAAAGACTGTAGCGTCTTCTGGACGCAACTTGGGCACACTAATTGTTGCATTACTTTTGAGTTTGAAGCTTTTCTCGAACATCTTCTTTTGCATTACTTTCGGGTCTGAGTTTCGTACTTTTACTTCGTCTTCTGGAAGACCCAGTGTGCTCGAAGAGCGGAATGAAACCATAGGGGGCTCCACCGAAGGCCCCAGTGGCGGACCCGCCGCATTGCGGCGCACCCCTCACACGTTTCGCGACCCGATAGTGGGTTCCACCAAAAGCCCCAGTGGCAGCGCCCACATGACGGCCACGCCCAATATCGGCGCACCCTTCGCATGCTTCAGGGCCACGTAGGGAGCTGCCCCGAGGGCGATACCCGCAACGACAGTACTCACCACGGTTGGGTCCTTCGCCAGGACAACTTTTGTTGCGCCACATGAACTCCCCCTGCAGCTGAAATCCGCGAGTGAATCTCGAAGATGCCGTAGCCAACGTCCGTCGCCACGCCCCTGTCTTCGAACATCGCAAGCTCACGAAGGAGGAACGAGGGAAGGGAGGAGGGAAGTCGGGGGCATCTGCGAGCTCGTCGGCCGCAGGGTCGTCGTTTGCGTGCTGCCCAGCCATCGCGACGATGCGGGCACCGACGCCCATAAAACGACGGACAGGGGGGAGGAGTACTCTACACAGCCTCCGAGTGACCGAGCCTACCAAGGACAGGCGACTCGAAGCGCTGCTGGCGCTGGGACGCGAACGAATCATTCGAGGGGCCCGATGCTGCAGATCGGCACGCCCTCTCCAAATACCCCTGCAGGTTTTCGAAGGTCTCCAGACGCATCCGGCGGTCTCTGGAGGTCTTCCTCGGGAGGTGTCGGGAGATCTCATGAAGCGTCCAGAGGTCTCCCAAGAGGACTCCAGGAGCCCCCCGTGGCCCGAAAAGGGGCACCACCGCCACCACCGCCCCCAAAAAGAGCCAGACGGACGAAGAAGGGAACAGAAGGCAAAACACGAAACAAAACAAACAAACAAACACACACACACACACACACACCAAAAAAACAACAAAAAGTGGCAACCAAAACTTCTGGGCGTTGCTTCATGGGGGACGCTAAATGTTGGGCCCCAGGGGGCACATTTAGGGCCCCTCCAGGGTACAACAGGTGCACCTTTCTTCACCCCCCCATTTACCGCTTCCCCATTACGCAGCGCCCGCTTCACGACAGTAGCAAAGTTGCTGCCGGCACCTCGCTGGACGCATCGTCCGAGACGGTCGCCCCGAGGCCCTCCGCCTGGCCCCAGGAGAAGACCTCGCCGTCGTTGTTGGCCGCCAGTGTGTGCTGCGCCCCGCAGGCGAGCGCAGTGACCTCCACGGAGGGTCGTCGGCGTCGACGTCGTCCTCGTCGTCGAGGGTCGTCGTCATCGTCGTCGTCAGCGTCGTCGCACTGCGCTGTTCTGTCGGCGGTCGCCACCGCCGCGCTTCCTCCTCCTCCTCCTCCTCCTCCTCCTCCTCCTCCTCCTCCTCCTCTAACCCCTCTAACCCTCCTCCATCCTCCTCCTCCTCCTCCTCCTCCTCCTCCTCCTCATCCTCCTCCTCCTCCTCCTCCTTCTCCTCCTCCTCCTCCTCCTCCTCCTCCTCCTCCTCCTCCTCCGCCTCCTCCTCCTCCTCCTCCTCCCTCCTCCTCCTCCTCCCTCCTCCTCCTCCTCCTCCTCCTCCTCCTCCTCCTCCTCCTCCTCCTCCTCCTCCTCCTCCTCTCCTCCTCCTCTTTTCTCCTCTCCTCCACCCCTTCCTCCCCTCCTCCTCCTCCTCCTCCTCCTCCTCCTCCTCCTCCTCCTCCTCCTCCACCCCTTCCTCCACCCCACCTCCTCCTTCTCCTCCTCCTTCTCCTCCTCCTCATCCTCATCATCCTCCGCCTCGTCCTCCTCCTATTTCTCCTTCTCCTCATCGCCCTCCGTCAGCATCCAAGCGGGGGCAGGAACCAGGGCAGGGAGAAGGTCGACTCCGAGGCAGACACGGCGCGCCCCCCGCGCCGTACAGACCGCTTCGTTGCGCATGGCACTGCACGAGTTGCCACCTTCTTTCTAAACCTGGGTCTCAGGACCTCCGCAAAGAAAGGCTCCCTCCCCCCCCTCCTCCTCCTCTTCCTCCTCCTCCTCCTCCTGCGACTCCTCCTCCTCTTACTCCTCCTGCTCCTCCCCCTCCTCCCCCTCCTCCTCCTCCTCCTCCGCCTCCTCCTCCTCATCATCATCCTCCTCCTCTCTCCTCCCCCTCCTCCTCCTCCTCCTCCTCCTCCTCCTCCTCCTCCTCACCATAAATAGCATCACCATCATCATCGATAACATAATCATCCTTCTCATCATCATCATAATCATCATAATCATCATCATCATCATCATAATCATCAGCATCAGCATCATCATCATCGGCAGCAGCAGCAGCATTATCGTCATCATTATAATCATCATAATCAGCAGAACCATGATAATCAGCAGCATCATCATCGCCAGCTGCTTCTTAGTATGAATACTAGTATGCATCGGCATCGTCATCATCAGTAGCATCAGCATCGTCATCCTCATCATCGTCATAAGCATCATCATCGTCATCATCATCTTCAGCAGCAGCACCATCATCAACATCAACATCATCATCAGCATCATCATCAACAGCATCATCATCATTATCATCATCAAAATCAGCAGCATCATCATCAGAATCGTCCTCCTCCTCCTCCGCCTCCTCCTCCTGACTATATTCCTCCACCTCCTCCTCCTCCTGTTCCTCCTCCTCCTCCTCCTCCTCCTCCTCCACCTCCCTCATCCTCCGCCTCCTCCTCCTCCTCCGCACCTCCTCCTCCTTTTCCTCTTCCGTTTCCTCCTCCGCCTCCTCCTCCTCATCGTGCTCGTCATTATTCGCCCCCTCTTCCGTATCCTCCTCCTCCAACTCATCCTCTTCGTGTTGTTCTGCTTAGTAGTATTGGTAGTAACAAAATGGTTCGTCATACTATTGGCTCTCGTAGTAGTAGTCGTAGTAGTCGTAGTAGCCGTAGTAGTAGTAGTAGAAGTAGTAGTAGTAGTAGTAGTAGTAGTAGTAGTAGTGGTAGTGGTAGTAGTAGTAGTAGTAGTAGTAGTAGTAGTAGTAGTGGTAGTAGTGGTAGTAGTAGTAGTAGTAGTAGTAGTAGTAGTAGTAGTAGTAGTAGTAGTAGCAGTAGTAGTAGTAGTAATAGTAGCAGTACGATTGGCACTTCTATGCTCAAATTAATATTAGTAATATGATTAGTGACACTATTAATGGTATTAGTACCCGTATGCTTCTTAGTAGCAACACTATAGATCGAATCACAAGAATAATGATGTGAATAAATTTAGTCATATTGGTATCAACATGACGTGTAGTAATATGATCAGCAGTAGCCTTGCCATTGGTATAAATTACGAGTGGTACGAGTATTATCAATAGTACGAGTAGCAATAGTAGCAGTAGTAGTAGCAGTAGCAGCAGTGAAAGTAATAGTAGTAGGTGTGGTGTTCGCCTTCTTCTTATGAGCATCGGTACGAATATTAGCAGGATGAGCAGTAGCATTAATCGTGGTATGATTGGCAATGCCAAAATTCGGGTGGCTATTCGTACTATGAGTGGGTTAAGTACCCGTATGCGTAGTATAGATACGTTTGTAAATATGATAAGCAGTAGTAGTAGTAGTAGTAGTAGTCGTAGTAATAGTATTAGTAGTAGTAGTAGTAGTAGTAGTAGTAGTAGTAGTAGTAGTAGTAGTAGTAGTAGTAGTAGTATGGTTGATTCTGCTGCATAGAAGAGAGAGAGAGAGAGAGAGAGAGAGAGAGCCAAAAAACGAAACAAAAAAACGTACTATTAGTATGTTATTATTGTGATGTGTATGAGTAGTCGTCCTCCTCCTCCTCGTCCTCCTCGTCATCCCCGTCCTCATCCTCCCCCCAGCCCTCTTTCTCCTCCTCCTCCTCCTCCTCCTCCTCCTCCTCGTCGTCCTCCTCCTCCTCCTGCGCCTCCTCCTCCTCCGTATCTTTCGCATCATACTTCCCCACATTCCTCCGTATCCTCCACCAACTCCTCCTCATCCTCCTCGTCGTCCTCCTCCTCCGTTTCCTCCTCCTTCTCCTCCTCCTCCTCCTCCTGTCCTCCTTTTCCTCCTCCTCCTCGTCTTCGTCCTCCACATCCTCCTCACCCTCCTCATCCTCCTCCCCCCTCTTCCTCCTCTTCCTCCTCTTCCTCATCCGCCTCTTCTTCATCAGAGTCATCATCAGCATCCTAATCATCATCAGCATCATCAGCATCATCAACATCATCATCAGAATCAGCATCAGCATCATCATCAACATCATCATCAGGATCACCATCATCACCATAATCAACATCATCATCAGCATCATCATCATCAGAAGCAGCAACATTATCATCATCAGCAGCAACATCAGCATCAGCATCATCATCAGCATCAGCATCATCATCAGCAGCAGCATCAGTATCACCATCATCATCATCAGCACCCTCATCGTCGTCATCATCGGCAGCAGTACCAGCATCACCATCATCATCCTCAGCATCATCATCATCATCATCATCATCATCATCATCATCATCAGCGTCATCATCAGCATCAGCATCATCATCAGCATAATCGTAATCGTCAGCATCATCGTCATCATCATCAGCAGCATCATCGACATCATCATCAGCATCATCAGCAGCAGCAACATCATGAGCAGCATCATCGTCATAAACACCATCAGCATCATCACCATGACCATCACCACAGCCAGCATCAGCATTAGCAGCATCACAATCATCACCAAAAGCAGCAGCAGCATCGTGTTCACCATCAGCACCGGCATCATCATCAAAGTCATCAGCATCAGCATCGTTATCACCTCTATCCTTATCCGCACGAGCATAATCGGCATCACCAGCAGAATCGCCATCATCATCACCATCATCGTCATCATCACCAGCGCCATACCATCATCATAATCAGCAGCACTAGCATCATCAGCATCATCATCAACAGCAGCATCATCAGCATCATCAGCATCATCATCGTCCTCATCATCGTCATTAGCATCAGCATCATCAGCAGCAGCATCATCAGCAGCATCAGCATCATCATCAGGATCACCAGCAGCATCATCCTGATCAGCAGCATCATCGACATCATCAGCATCATCAGCATCAGAAGCAGCATCGTCATCATCAGCATCGTCGTCATCATCGTCATCAGCATCAGCATCATCAGCAGCATCCGCATCGTCCTCATCATCAGCATCAGCGTCAAATTCATCATAAGCAGCAGCAGCATCATCATTATCTCCAGCATCATCATCATCATCATCATCATCATCATCATCATCACCAGCAGCAGCATCATCAGCATCATCATCCTCAGCATCATCGTCCTCTTCCTCCTACTCATCCTCCGGATTCACCTCCTCCTCCTCCTCCTCCTCCTCCTCCGCCTCCTCCTCCACATCATCCTCTTCCTCATTATCCTCCTCCTCCTCCTCATATTCCTCCGCCCCCTCCTCCGCCGCGTTCATCCTCCTCCTCCTCCTCCTCCTCCTCCTCCTCCTCCTCCTCCGCCTCATTGTCCTTCCTCGTCCTGCCCCTCCTCCTCCTCCTCCTCCTCCTCCTCCCCCTCCTCCTCCTCGTCCTCCTCCTCCTCCGCATCCTCATCCTCATCGGCATCATCCTCCTCGCCATCCTCCTCCTCCTCCTCCTCATCCTTCTCTTCCTCTTCCTCCAATTCATCCTACTCCTGTCCTCCTCCTCCTCCTCCTCCTTCTTCTCCTCCTCCCTCCTCCTCGTCTTCCTCCTGCTCCTCCTCCTCCTCTTCCCCTCCTCCTCCTCCTCCTCCTCTCCTCCCTCCTCCTCCCTACCTCCTCCTCTCCTCCTCCTCCTCCTCCTCTCTCATCATCATCTCATCATCTCCATCATCATCATCATCCATCATCATCATCATCATCATCATCATCAGCATCCTCATCCTCATCCTCATCCTCATCCTCATCATCATCCTCATCCTCATCCCATCCTCCTCCTCCATCTCCTCCTCTCCTCCTCCCCTCCTCCTCTTCCTCCCTCTCCTCCTCCTCCTCCTGCTCCTCCTCCTCCTCCTTCTCCTGCTCCTCCTCCTCATCGTCATCCTTCTCCTCCTCCTCCTCCCCCTCCGCTCCTCCTCCTCCTCCTCCTCATCCTCATTCTCATCTCATCCTCCTCATCCTCATCCTCATCAATCTCCTCCTCCTCCTCCTCCTCCTCCTCCTCCTCCTCCTCCTCCTCCTCCTCCTGCTCCTCCTCGTCATCCATCCTCCTCCTTCTCCTTCTCCTCCTTCTCCT